GTGCAGAATAGAGCGGCAGAATGACTTCACGAGTTTTGCTTACAACACACCTGTTGATACAACCTAGAATCATATTTGCTTTTTTTGCAACAGCATCACACTGTTGACTCATATTCAACTTGTGGTCCACTATGACCCCTAGATCCCTTTCCGCCATGCTCCTTCCTAGACAGTCGCTTCCCATCTTGTATGTATGGAACTGATTGTTCCTTCCTAAGTGGAGCACTTTGCATTTCTCTTTATTAAACCTCATCCTGTTTACCTCTGACCATTTCTCTAACTTGCTAAGGTCATTTTGAATTATGTCTCTATCCTCCAAAGAAGTCGCAACCCCACCCAGTTTGGTATCATCTGCAAACTTAATAAGAGTACTCTCTATCCCAATATCTACATCATTGATGAAGATATTGAACAGTACGGGTCCCAAAACAGACCCTTGAGGAACTCCACTTGTTATCCCTTTCCAGCAGGATTTAGAACCGTTAACAACAACTCTCTGACTACGGTTATCCAGCCAATTATGCCCCCACCTTATCGTGGCCCTATCTAAGTTATATTTGCCTAGTTTATCAATAAGAATATCATGCGAGACCGTATCAAATGCCTTACTAAAGTCTAGGTATATGACATCCACCGCTTCTCCCTTATCCACAAGGCTCGTTATCTTTTCAAAGAAAGCTATCAGATTAGTTTGGCATGACTTGTTCTTCACAAACCCATGCTGGCTATTCCCTATCACTTTATTACTTTCCAAGTGTTTGCATACTATTTCCTTAATTACCTGCTCCATTATCTTCCCTGGGACAGACGTTAAACTGACCGGTCTATAATTTCCTGGGTTGTTCTTATTCCCCTTTTTATAGATGGGCACAATATTTGCCCTTTTCCAGTCTTCTGGAATCTCCCCTGTCTGCCATGATTTTTCAAAGATCATAGCTAAAGGCTCAGATACCTCCTCTATCAGCTCCTTGAGTATCCTGGGATGCATTTCATCAGGACCTGGTGACTTGCTGACATCTAACTTTCCTAAGTGATTTTTAACTTGCTCTTTGTGTATCCTATCTTCTAAACTTACCCTCTCTCTGCTTGTATTCACTACGTTAGGCACACCTCCAGACTTCTCGGTGAAGACCGAAACAAAGAAGTCATTGAGCATCTCCGCCATTTCCAAGTTCCCTGTTACTGCTTCTCCCTCCTCGCTAAGCAGTGGGCCTACCCTGTCCTTGGTCTTCCTCTTGCTTTTAATGTATTTATAAAAGGTCTTCTTGTTTCCCTTTATGCCTGTAGCTAGTTTGATCTCATTTTGTGCCTTTGCCTTTCTAATCTTGCCCCTGCATTCCCGTGTTGCTTGCCTATATTCATCCTTTGTTAGTTGTCCTAGTTTCCATTTTTTATATGACTCCTTTTTTATTTTGAGATCATGCAAGATCTCCTTGTTAAGCCAAGCTGGTCTTTTGCCATATTTTCTATCTTTCCTACACAGCGGAATTGTTTGCTTTTGGGCCCTTAACAACGTCCCTTTGAAATACTTCCAACTCTCCTCAGTTGTTTTTCCCTTCAGTCTTGCTTCCCATGGGACCTTACCTACAAGTTCTCTGAGCTTATCAAAATCTGCCTTCCTGAAATCCATAACCTCAATTGTGGTGGTCTCCCTTCTACTTTCCTTAAGATCATGAACTCTATTATTTCGTGATCACTGTCCCCTATACTGTCTTCCACTTTCAAGTTCTCAACTAGTTCCTCCCTATTTGTTAAAACCAAATCCAGAACAGCTTCTCCTCTGGTAGCTTTTTCAACCTTCTGAAACAGAAAGTTGTCTCCAATGCAGTCCAGAAACTTATTGGATAGCCTGTGCCTCGCTGTGTTAGTTTCCCAACATATGTCTGGATAGTTGAAGTCCCCCATCACCACCAAATCTTGGGCTTTGGATAGTTTTGTTAATTGTTTAAAAAAGGCCTCATCCACCTCTTCCACCTGGCTAGGTGGCCTGTAGTAGACTCCTAGCATGATATCACCCTCGTTTTTTACCCCTTTTAGCTTAACCCAGAGACTCTCTACACAGCTATCTCCTACGTTCATCATATGGAATCATGGTTTGGAAATGAAGTGAAGAGCAGTGTGGATTAGGTGTGGATTTGTTGAGCAGTGAAGACTCCATCCTCCATTCTTTTTGGGTACCTGAAAGTAGTTTGAACAAAACATTGTGCCCTGAAATGGTTCTGGGATGTGTTCCATAGCTCCCCTCACCAAAAGGAGGCCATCTGTAGTTGGTGGGTGTCAAAGTATAGTTGCTGCATCTGTGCACCAAACTGGGGAGTGTTATGTGGGCATCTTATAAACTCTATGACAAAGCTCCTCTGGATAAAATCTAGGGCCTTCTTTTCTGTTGCTATAGCTTTTCTTTCTGGAAGGAAAGGGGTAGCCAGTAGGTGTACTGACATGCAGAATGGCTGATGGCTCTATAATGACACTCAAATATCATTTACATGATGATTGGGTAGTTGATGTAGACAGGCAGATTTTGTGGACCGCGGACTATTTTTGAGGAGGCTTGTAACTATGTTGATGATGTAGCTGTGGGTCCCTGTAGTGCTATGATTAGGGCACCAATAGAAGATTCTCTTAGGTGCTGGTGTATACATGCCCAAAGATCTTAATATGGCTCCAGAGTCTTTTAAGGCAAATAGGGAATTATCTGTCTTCTGGCTGGCGACATATAATTTGTCTTTATAAAAGGTCTTCTATAATGTTTTGCACCTCAGTGGGGAAGCCTGAGGAGTGTAACTACGATTCCCTCCTCAAGACAATCCCTGTTGCCAACACATGGCAGGCCACATCTGCTGACCCCAATATAACTTGTAGCATGGACCAGATGAGTAACTTGCCTTCCTGAAAAGCCACCTAGAATTGGTTGTGATCTTGCAGTAACAATTTTGTCAGAATACTCAGCCATAGTTGATAAAGTCATATCTAGCCATCCGGGCTAAGTAGTTGGAACTGGAATCTTGCTGAGAAGACTACCTTTCTACCCCGCATCTAGAGAAAATACCTTAACTCTTCAGAGCCAGGCTAATTAAAGCATCATCCAAAACTCTCTTGGAGTGCTTACCTCATGAGGATTGTATTAGCAATGTGGGAGAATCCTCCTGAAGTGAGTAGGGCCATTTGGAGGGTAATTATTGGGGCCATGAGCTCAAATATGAACATCCTAACTGACCCTGCTTTATGTAGCCTGTGACCATGGTCTCGGTTACCACCTCTGCCTCAGTGCACTGGAACATTACTAGTTACTAGAATAAATTTGATTGGCAAATATGTCCTATAGTGAAAGGCGCTAAGAATTCAATCTGTTAATTTTAACCAAGCAAAGTTTAAGGGATGACTTACGTACACAGTTATAACAAAAAAAAGGAAACAAAATTTGATGAGAGGGCTCTTCAGTCTCGGAAACACAGGCATAACAAGATCTTATTGCTGGAGGCTGACAAAATACAAATAAGGTGTATATTTTAACAAAGTCAGTAACTGATCATTGGAACAAACCTGGGCTATGGTGGAACCCTCATGGTGGGAAACTTTCAAATAAAGATTATATTTAGAAAACAAAATCTAGTTCAAACATGAATTAATTTGGGGAAATCTCATGGTATATATTATGCAGGAGGTCAGGCTAGATTACCATAATCTTTCCTTCTGGATTTATAATCAATACATGTGTATTTTTAACATAGGAAAATAAATTTTTGTCTAATGAGATGTAAGGTTGTAAGAGATGTAAAGTATATCAAAATTAAGAAAAAAGTAGATCTCAATTGCATCAATTTTAATCACTACTGGATTAATTATGCCAGTGTTCGAACTGATAATCAATATAGCCAGAGCTTATTCATGAAATTAGGAGACAAAGTGGTAACAAGAAGTTTAAGAATGCAAATACAAAAATATGGAAAAGTGGCAGAAAGACTGTTTGCCCAAAATGTATACCTGAGAAAAGCCACTTTTCTAAACCAATAAGACAATATAGTAAAACATAATTGCTAACAAAAAAATCTGTATGCTACACAGAACTGTTCATGAAGCCATGTAGTCAAATTCAGTTATCATAATGTCTAGAATTTCTCAAGAAGCAAAAAAAGGACTTCATTAGTGATATCTGATACTTTTCATCATAAATATTCTTTATCAGAGAATATACTGAGATTATTCATCAAGAGAATCTTCAATGTTATTAACCCTTTAAAAATATGATTGTTAAGGAGATTGAAGTAATACCTTCTTATTAGAACAATTTTCAATAAGAGACATTACCTCATCTACCTTGTTCTTCTAATAACCAGGACCAATACAACTACAATACCACATCATATTTTAAAAAGGTCTGACAAAATATTCATTTTCAATACACATTATAGTAATATTTCAAACTTATTTTGCATTTACCCTCTAAGAACTTGACCCTACTTGACACTCTCTCGCTCTCTCTCTCTCTCTCTGTGTGTGCATGCATGCGTGTGCAAGAGCATGAGCAAGAGAGAGTATTTGTGTTTTGTGCAGAGAGTGTCAAGGGAGGCAGAAGAGGACTTATTTTTAAATGAGTCACTAGTACCACAGTCATCGAAAGGTAAGAAGACGCAATTAAAAACCGGAATCCATAAGAAAAGTACCGGGTTCTACTAACGATTATAAGCAATGAGGAGCACATGGGTTTACTCAGGGACCTAATAAAAGTGGGATGTGATAGGAAAGTTGTGGGTATATTACAGGATTGTAGATGGAACCACAAATTTCAGTGAAAAAATTGATCATTTTAAGTTGTGTTTCAGATATATCTGAAAGTTTTCTCCATAGTATAAGCATTTTCAACTTTGGTCTCATTTTAAACATACACAGTAAAAATTACACAATGTTATATTTCAACTGTCACATTGAAGTTTTTTAAAAAAAATGAAAATTGTACACATGCATGCACATAGGCACTATTAATCTGAAACAAAACATACCTGTGTTCGCAGAATTTCACCTTTTGACAACTGCATGTCACCGGTCAACTCTTTCACGGTGATGCCTAGTGGCTCCAGACGCTTGCTGAAGTAATTTGTCATTTCAGCTGCCAAAGCCTTCATAGGAGCAACATATACAATCTGCACCAAAAGGACACTAGCTTGATAAATGAGCAAACTGCACAATGTCATTTGTTTCATGGCAACCAATACAAATCACAATTTATTGTGAAATATGATTCTAGGCACTTAGAGTGAAAAATCTTAATAGTGATATATGAAAAGTAGTTATCTTTGTTGGATAAGTGTGCCACTGTTTAGAAAACAATGGATTTTGTTTATACAGCCTCATTACTTTGAGAATTGGTTCTGCATCAAAGCTAAATGTATTTTCATAGCTTTTCACATGGGTAATAAGATTTTCAGAACACAAATAGGAATTGGTTTAATAGTAATGAAGTAAATCACCAGCATTTTCTATGATGCTTGGAGAAGTGTAATACCCTTGAAAACTTCTTGATTTCATATAATGTGTATAACTGCATAATGGGTTTTATCTTGCGAGCTAAAAAAGTTGGTTTTGGTTCACTGAATTCCTACCTTAAATTCATCTTTTTTGATAACTCCTTGCTGAACATGCTGGCGAATTTCATGCAAGACAGTTAGCATTGCAATGTTAGTTTTCCCAGCTCCAGTAGGTGCACAGATCAGCATGTTCTCATTTGTATTGTAGGCAGTCTCAAAAACTATTGATTGGATTCGGTTCAGTCTTTTCATGCCTTTAAAAACAAGTTGCCCAATCTGAAAGAAAATAAAGTATTGCAATAAAAATGCAAAGGCCAGCAAAATTAAAGGGATAATTTTGGTATCCTCTTAGAAACTAGTTACAAGCCTTTGATCCCAAATGCTAAGAATATCAATGCTGGAAACTACAAATTTATTTTCTTATGTATTCTAAATAGGATAACTTCTAAAACAATAACATGCTTATGAATAAGTGACTCTTAATTACACAACTTTTTAAGTTTTAAACTATTTCTTTTACGAAAAACAGACTGACAAAACTTCATTCAGTTTATGAATATTAGCATAAATATTCATAAATGAGTTTTATGTATTTTAAACAATTACATAATTGTTAAGGACAAAATGAATACCTTTATAGAACTTTATAAATTACAAAAAGGGTTCTAAGTTGATGTACTAAGGCATATAGAGGAAACAGTGCCCCCCTTCTCTCTGATGAGTAGAACATTTTCAGAGCATTGTCAAACCACTACCTAGATAGAATGCATAGCTAAATGAAAAGTCAAAAATATAAGCTAACATATTACATTAAAAACAATATTAAGAGAGCATTAATGTTACTGAGAGATTAGGAAATGCCAGAATTAAAATTGTCTTACAAACTTATGGTGGCCCCCTTTAGCATATGCAATATGATTAAGGCCCTTCATTTTCAGGTTTTATTTTATTTATTTTTTCCCAGGAATGTATCCGTGTTTTCAACTACCAACAACAAAAGCAGGTAAAAAAATCAGGAAAAAAACCTGTAAATATTTTTTGCTGGGTAAATATATAGGGCTTATATTGTTGGTTGGAAGGATAGAGAAAAATGTATCCAAATACATTATAGCTTTGTTGAGTGGAATTCAATGTGGTTTGCTGCAGACTTTTGAGTTTAAGAAAACAATCCATCACTAATCCTCAAATAAAACTTTGGTTTGAATAAACAGTGCACGGTTTAGACTTAAAACTATTATCCTATAAATACTTACATGTAATTATTGGGTCACAGCATTGCAGTGCATACTCTCAACTTCATTCTTTTCTCCTGTTTTTTTAATACGTTTTGAATACTTGTTTGTGTTCTCAAAAGTATTCTGATAGATTTTTGCTTTCTTCCCCTTTTAGTGTGTCAGATCCTTAAATCATTATCTGCTAAATGCTTGAAAATGTGCATGAGGTGGGAGTGAAATTCACCAGTACTTGGAGCATACACAATTAGTGGGAGGGAGATAAAAGTATTACCAGCTGGGGAAGTATAACCCTCCATGTGACACCGGCTCAGGTAACTTGTTCCAACTCCCTGCTCACCCTCCTCACACTCGCCTCATCCCCTCCCCATGCTATGTAACCTATTGGGGAAACAGGATACATTCTCCATCCATGCTGCCTGCTTAGGAGGCTGCCAAGGGCAGCACAGTAGCTCCTGGGAGACAGCAGTCTCTGCACGGAACCACGCAGCATCCCAGACAGGTAGTGTGGCAGGAACCAGAAAAGAAAGGCTCTGGATCCAGTTTCTTTCCTTCTGGTTCTGCTCCTAGTCCCCACATCAGCATTTTAGAGAAGGGTATGCATGTCCCTCCCTTGCGTCACCCCTGACATTGAGATGCACATACACTTCAGTACTTGCCTGAGAGCCTATTCATTGTGTGTATCTTCTAGAATACTGCATAGCCTTACTTCAGCAAGTAGCTTTGCACATACTCACAGACTAATACGCAATACAGAATATCATCAGAATACATATCTTGTGCAGTACATTATATTTTGTTATAAAATAAATTATTTTTATATAATGAATGATTCAAAAGTAGTGTGTGTGGCAAAGTCCTCACCCAGGCTCCTGGCCCTGGAACTCCTCCTTTGGCCACAAATCAACCGGAACCCTTTCTTGTGCAGTCACCCGTGCCTTTTGTTGTCCATGCCAGTTTCCCACCACCTTCTATTTACAGCAGGTCTAATCAACTTTGGAAGCCCTGGGGTCAACAATGATACTCACAGCACATGCCGAGGGCTGCAACTTAAGTGTAGTTGCATATACATGTAAATATATATGAAAATATATGTAAATAGCTTCTTTCACACTGATGGGCAAGACTACACAACACGCAAGCCCCATTTAAGTCAGTTCTGCTGATATTAATAAAATGCAACATTTACCTGATTTCCACCCAGATGACAGCACTTTTAATGAGCAATGGCAGTCCAGGAATTTAACTACTAAAACATATATTAACAGAAGACCATCATATGGACTACTTTTTTGTTTTGGCTGCCACCTACGGACCACAAACAAATGGGCCGAGTGTTGAGTAACCCTGATTTACAGAGCTTGGTTTGTTTCTTCCTGCAACAAATTCAGCTAGCCTCTTCAGCTGGCTAGGGAGGACAGAGGATGTTAAATTTTGATTAATTAACTAATCAAATAGTTGATGGGATTTCCATTGACTATTCAATTAGTCAATAAGAACTACTGTATTTTGACTTTGAAATGTACAAGAGCCCCCGCTGTAAGTGCCACAAGGAGCCTAGGATTAGCGGGGGACTGCCTACCGGCCCCAGCCTCCATGCAGCATTCCAACTTTGAAATGTACAAAAGCCCCAGCAGATACTCTTGCATATTTCAAAGTTGGCTGCTGCTTCACCCCTGCCCCCTCCCACAGAGCTAGAGCTGGGGGGAACCGCTTTTAAGCCGGCTCACTCCAGCACCCCTTACCCCTCCCCCTTTGCTGCCTCTTTCTGATAGAGGCAGCATTAGGGAGAAGCAATTAGTTGACCAGTGTGTCGACTACCTGATTAGTCGCTTACATCCCTAGGGAGCACACTCAGCCACTCTCTAGCTCCTCCCCTTCCACTTCCCCTCACAACTGCCTCTCTGGCAGTCTTATCGAGCCCTCTAGCTAATGAAGTCCACAGCTGTTTCTCATTAGCCTCTCAAGCACGGGCTTGCTCACTGGGGTCAATTGCCCTTTTCAGCCAGGCTTTATTGGCAAAGTTCTGGCTTAGTTAGCAGCCTGTCACAAGTGATGCTCAGAGGCAAAACAAGTACTTCTTGTAAAAATTGGACTTTTTGGTTTAAAAAAAAAAGTTAAAACTGAAAATGACAAGGCTTAAATATGACACACATGATCATACACTACTCTTTCCACAGGACCTCTGTGTTATTCAGTAACCAGTAGTCAGAATTATGTAGTGCAGAATGCTGTCTCTTGGGGTATGTCTTCACTTATCCTGAGATCATTGCTCTGAAGAGCGATCTCCTAGGCTTTGATTTAGTGGGTCTATTAAAGACCCACTAAAGCAACCACTGATGGTACCCTGTCAACCCTGGTACTACATCGGGTCATGAGGAGTAAGGGAAGCCAATGGGAGAATCTCTCTCATCAAACTCCAACAGTGAGGACACCGCAAAAATTTGTCCTGAAGCACAATGACTCCTGCTATACTATTCTCATAGCTAGAGTTCCAGATAGTAGGTTGACTTTCTCCTGTAGTGTGGACCTGGACTTGTTATACATACACTACACACAAAACTGAGGCTCTCACTCAGGTTTGAGTCCAAGACCCTTTTCTGTCAACAACCAAATCAGATTGATTTTGGAGAGCAAATTCAGGTCCTAAGATCTTGATGAGGTTTCTGGGTCAAGCCCTGCTGTGACTTCAGTCCAAAGCACTGTTATTTTGTAACATGTATGCAGCTAATAATACAGATTTGAATCAGAGTATATATAGCGCACTATGGAAACATAAGCAAAACTATGAGCCCCACGTTAAGCACCTGTAAGCCCAGATGTATGATGCAGTGTGGATGTTGGAAATATCCAGTCCACAGATACAGATTTAAAGTGCAGTGCAGACACATTCTCTAAGACATGCCCCCATCTCATTTATGGAAGAAGTTGGGTGTCCAGTAAATGAGACAAAGGAATGCAGGAAGAGAAAGGATCATGATATAAGAATTGCCATATGAGTTAGATGAATGGTTACTGTGTCTTTCCACAGAGGCTAATAGCAGGTGCATCAAAGAGAATAAACAGAACAAGTAATCACCAAGTGATCCATCCCCTGTCTCCCATTCTTAGCTTTTGGCAAACAAAGGCTAAGGAGACTCAGAGCATTCTTCCATTCCTGACTATCTTGGCTAATAGCCATTAATGGACTTAAACTCAATGAACTCTTATATTTCTCGAGAAGGCCAAGACTATGACAGGGTTCAAACAACACTAGCTGTCAAAGAGTTCCACTCTCCTTCTAACATGACTGGTTCTGTCCTTCCTACTCATATTTTATTAATCTTCCATCCTCTCCTCATCAGGAGAGTCCCCATTAATAGATCCTCCCTAAGGGATATGTCTATTCAAATCACGTGTTCCTCCACACCAGTCAGCTTTCCCTCAGTCCCTTCTTGAAAAGTGTTTGTTCATAGGATATGGGGAATTTGTCTTATTTTTTTTTCTAAGAGTGTGTTAATTTGAGAATATAGTGATTATATGTTTTCTTTACATTGTTTTTTGTGACATCTGATGAGCTATACCCACACTGCATTTATAGGAACAAAATCTTGAAAGATGTGGCTGGGGAGGTAGGTCACTGTAGCAGTGTAGATATGTTTTGTATCTGCTCTGGAAGGATATAGAACTACTTGAGTCCTTGTCTGTGCGGATAATGAAATCTACTTCTTTGACTGTGCGCTCATTTGGTGAAGAAAGGTTTGACGTGTTTTAAGTCGTGTAACCTAGACATTCTCTTCCAAATATATGTTGTGGTATACCAGTGCCTGATTAATCAAAGGGAAAACCTGCAGTCTTATCACACTAAGCTCTAAATATTTAAGCAATAATGCTATAATAAGTGAAATATCACTTGGCACAAATGTACTGATTATGGCACAAGAACACAAAATAGCTAGCAAAGTATCTGTGCATGAAAATTATCTTAATTTTCCCTTGTGCACAACAGTAGCAGTTCTACTCAAACTCAGGCTTGTACTTTTGTTTACAGCATTTGAATTTTTA